TAGGCAGGGGCTCTACCACTGAGCCACACCCCAGCCCCTCACTGGGGGATTCTAGGCAGGGGCTCTGCCACTGAGCCACACCCCCATGACTCTATGGTAGTCTCTAAGCATCTCCAGGAAGCCTCATGGATCCCCACCCATGATGCGACTCTTACACTTGGTTCCTCTGTTGATTTGTGTCCATTTGAATTGTCTCCATGCAGGAGCCACTAGTAATAGGAGGAAAGAGCTGGCTATCTTCTTATTACTCATTCTGTTTGGTGTTTGTTTGAGACAGGCTGCTCATCTGCAGCTCAGCCTCAAGGTCATGGCTTCCTAGCATAAGATGCCATACATTTTTGTTTGTTTGTTTGTTTGTTTGGTAGTTGGTTTTTCAAGACAGGGTTTCTCTGTGTAGCTCTGGCTGTCCTGGACTTGCTCTGTAGACCAGGCTGGCCTTGAACTCAGAGATCTTCCAGCCTCTGTCTCTCGAGTGCTGGAATTAAAGGCATGCTCCACCACCACCCAACATGGTTTTTAGGAATTTAATTTTTATTTTTGTAATAGGATCTCACTGCGTAGACCAGACTGGCCTCGTATTTACAGTGATCCTCATATCTCTGCTACCTGGGTGTTAGGTTTACAGGCATGAGGGCTGGGGTGTTGGAGTTCAGTTGGCCCAGCAGTTGGAGCCCCTGTCTAGAAGCCTCCAGGTAGGGCGTGCATCACCACCCGACATCTTAGGCTGTTTGACTTCAGTAAATCCAGAATCCATCCCGAAGCTTGCATTGGCCATATTGTATCCAAAGGTGTGGGAAAAGCACCAGCTATTTCACGTTCCGGCCACAAGGTGGCAATGGCAAGCCTTTTCACTTCCGCCGACCCCGGAGAGGAACAGCCCAGCATGCCAGCGAGGGGGGCACCAGGCCCGTCAGCGCTGGAATCCCGGCGGCGAGGATGCTGCGGGCCCCTAGGAGTGTTTGTGTGCACGTGTCACACACGACAGTCAACTGATGCTGTGTGTGGCGGCACGGGCCTTTAACCCCGGTTTTCTGGTGGTGGCGGCCGGGGGATCTGAGATGGAGGCCAGCTAGGGGCTGCCTAACAAGACCCTACTGAAAACCAAGCCAAAACCCCAAAGGCCAGCATTGGGTCTCACAGCAGGAGGAGAGAACCGATTCCAGAAGGCTGCTCTGACCTCCACACACCCCTCGCCCCCTCTCTCAGTTATAAACAACATAAAGCTTTTTATAAATAGCACGTATGAACATCATAAAGCTTGTAAAGCAGGCAGGCGCCTGGGGTGTGCCTCTGGCAGTAGACTGCCAACAAAGCTCCGGGTTGGATCCAAGCCCTCCCTAAATCGGGTGCCTCACACGCATGTGACCCTTTGTTGTTGTTGTTTTCAAGGAAGCCCTGGCTGTTCTGGACTCACTGTGTAAACCAGGCTGGCCTTGAACTGGCAGAGATCCACCTGCCTCTGTCTGTCCAGCACTCGGATTAAAAGTGTGCACCACCGACGCCGGGGCGACAGAGCTGGAGACAGAAGACCAAGGACACACTGTGGAGTGAGGTGGAGGTAAAGAAAAAAATTAAGCTGGCCATTTTCTACGATCACAGCTGTTAGAAAAACGTGCGCCTGTGAAGGTTACGATTTCACAAATCACACCACGGGATCGGTTCCACGTGGGAGGGTTATTAGGGGAAGGGAAAGGGGGTCGCAGAGAGATGAGGTGAAAGGGACAGGAGGGGCTCCAGGAGTTCTCTTGTAGGGTGACCCAGGGCACGTGCAGGTGGTTCCAGGTGATCAGCAGGTGGTCTTCTTGGTGGCTTCACAAATGCCTGATAACTGGTTTGTCAGGTCCCTTGGGGCTGGCTGTAGAGATGCCTGCTTACTGATCCCAACAACAGCCGTAACCCCAGCACGTGGGAGGCAGAGGGGGAGGACCAGGCCTTCAGGGCTAAGAATACCCCCTGGAGCCCTTCGCACCGTGACCTCTGGCGATCTCAGGACAAAATAGCACCAGCAGGGGTTGATGTCCAAGAGCTCTCCTGGGTCACACACAAATCCTGCTCGTTCATCTAGTGCCAGGAAGAAACATGGCTTAGACAGCTGAGCACAGCACAGCACAGCACAGAAAGTCTCCCTGAAGTCATGCAGCAGGCATTACAAACCAGGTCTCAGGGTTGTGCTATTATCTTCCTGGCTTCCCAGGGCCACTTGCTCTGGGAATTCAAGAGGCAGAGCAGGGCAGAGAGCTCAGAGCCAAGCGCCATCTCCCACATCTTCTCAGGCGTCCACCATCTCCCATTACCCGCCGGTTCAGAACCCGTCCACCATAGGCCTCCTCACTCAGGAACCTGCTTACTCCCCTCCCTCACCACATCTCTGCCTCAGGCTCCTCTCTTCTGTTGTCCCAAGGGGCTCCTTTCCCAACTGCCCTGGTCCCCAGGCCCCCATCTGAAAAGTCCCCATTTTCAAAGCAGCTGCATTCTCCCTCTTGACTAGCCACTTTCTGCACACCCTCGCCTCTGGAGCCCGCTGCCTTCCCCCAAAGCCCTGCCCCTCCAGCATGGCAGCTCTCCGTCTTGGCTGTAGTTCAGAGAGCACATGCATGAGGGTCATGAAATAGAAAGGCTTTCACTTAGTTCTCTTAAAGAAACTGAGTGGCTCCTAAGCCAGGTGTGGGGGCGCACGCCTGTGATCCCAGCACTCAGGAGGCAGAAGCATGCGGATCTCTGTGAGTTCAAGGCCATCTTGGTCTACAAACCCAGTCCAGGACAGCCAGGGCTACACAGAGAAACCCTGCCTGGAAAAAGCAAAAACCAAAACAAATAAACAAACAAACAACAAAAAAACCTGAGTGGTTTCCATAACAACAAACCCAGCTGACATTTGCCAACAAACTGGTTCCCAAGATTCTGTGTCTGCACGTCCAATGATCTGGCTTTGTGCTGTCCCTCAGCAGGGCTGACAGTAAATTCGCAGTCCATCCATGTGGCAATACGCATAAACATATAAAAGTAACTATTTTTTTAAATAAACACGTTTATTTCATTTTTCCTGACAGGGTTTCTCTGTGTATCTTGGCTGTCCTGGGCTTGCTTTGTAGACTGGGCTAGCCTGGAACTCACAGAGATCTGCCTGCCTCTGTCTCACTGGGTGCTGGGATTACAAATGTGGGCTACCTTGCCCAGCTAAAAATGTTTATTTTTAACTTATGTGTGTCCGAGCGTGGGTATGTGCACATGAGCATGTCTGGTCGGCTAGAGCTGGAGTTACAGGCAGTTTCGAACCACCAGGTGTGGATGCTGGGAACCAAACTACGGTCGTTTCAAAGAGAAGCGAATAAGCCCTCTCTCCCAGCGCCACACCCAAAGTAAATATCTTTCTTTGAAGGAAAGAATAAGTAAGTGAACGCCATCCCAGACTTGCCCAATCAGAATCGGAATATACTGTTTGCGGCCAGCGTTTTCTTAAGTTCTCTCCGTATGGCCCGCGGGAGCGCGAGGAAGGCCTGCTTCTGCTAGTCCAACTCCGCAAACTCCCAGTCCTCACAGGCCAGGCCACCCTGAGCCTCCTGAAACTACAATTCCCACAATGCCTGGAGGTTCCCGATGCGCTCTTAGCATACAGCTCCCAACGTGTCTTGCGAGCCTCTTGAAGCCGCGGTGACTACAACTCCCACAGTGCCCAGGGGCACGGCCCCCGCCCCTAGGGCTCCGAGCGTGGCCACATCCGGAGAGTCCGGGTTGGGGTGGGGCCGGCCGGGTTCGGGTGCAGTTTGCTGGGCTCGGGGCTACCTACAGCGGTTCTGTCCACGGCAGGGCAGACATGGCGGCCCAGAAGGACCAGCAGAAGGATGCGGAGGCGGAAGGGCTGAGCGCCACGTGAGCGAGCAGGGTGTTACCCCAGACCCGAGGTGCAGGCGTCCCGGCCCAGGGGCACCTCCTCAGCCTCTCACCCCGGGAGGGACCCAGGAGCGTGGGCTCTGCCCCAGGACGCTGCCCCCGGGACCGTGTGTGCTGAGCCTGGGGTCAGGGCCCCCCTTCCTGCCTGCAGCTGACCTGCCCCGCCCTTTAGGACCCTGCTGCCCAAGCTGATCCCCTCCGGCGCCGGCCGAGAGTGGCTGGAGCGGCGCCGCGCGACCATCCGGCCCTGGGGCGCCTTCGTGGACCAGCAGCGTTTCTCGCGCCCCCGCAACCTGGGCGAGCTTTGCCAGCGCCTGGTGCGCAACGTGGAGTATTACCAGAGCAACTACGTGTTCGTGTTCCTGGGCCTCATCCTGTACTGCGTGTGAGTGCGTGGGCAGCCCCGCCCCGGCCGCCGGAGTTGGCCCCCCGGTGCGTCCTTGCCCCTGCGTCCTCCTCATCAGGACGACGCAGCCGCGGAGGCCTCACTCCCGTGTCCCGCTCTCTTCCAGGGTGACATCCCCCATGCTGCTGGTGGCCCTGGCTGTCTTCTTCGGCGCCTGTTACATTCTCTATCTGCGCACGCTGCAGTCTAAGCTCGTGCTCTTCGGTGAGAAACACACACAGACACACACACATACGCACACACCAGGCCTCTCAGGACTGTGGTCTCGTGGGATGCGGACCTCCGGATATTTGGGACTCAAGTCGGTCCTCACCGAGATGGGCTCAGACCTCCCCGGTGCTCCCTTTCAGTCTCCGCCTCCCACACCCAGGGAGACCGCGGAACCCTTGGCACCTCCTCCACCCCGGCGGAAAGCGTCACCCACGCTGGACACAAGGGGGCGACCTTGTGCAGGCCTAGAGCCCTGTTCCTTTTCATGCCTTCGCCCCAGGGCCGGAATGATCCTGCCTATCCTCGGATGGGAAGTCCCGTGGCTCCAGACTGTCACCAGGCACCACTGCGAAGAAGGGTGCCAGGGAGGACCCACTGAGGGGAAATCCCAGGGTTGCCAAGGAGACCTACAACAGGGTCTTTCGGGGCCCAGCAAGTTAGGTACCAGACACAACTGGCTGGAGCAAAGGAGTTCCTGAAGCACGCAATGGCAGTCACTAGGGCAGCAAATCCTCCGTCCTGACAGCTCACCTGCCGGACTCCAAGCTCACCTCTGGAAACTACAATCCCCACAGTGCCTAGAGGCTCCCTACCCGCTCTTAGCATACATCTCCCAAGGCTGCTCTGTAGATGCTGAGATAGTCCTGGCCTTCCGGAACTCACTGTGTAGACTAACCTGGCCTCCAACTCGGATTCCCCCGGCCTCTGCCTCCTCAGTGCTAGGACTGAAGTGCCACCAGAGTCCTGGCCTTGCAGTATTTGTTAAGCACCCAGAAGGCAGGCCCTCTGGAAAAGCAGGAAGTGTTCTTAACTGCCGAGTCATCTCTCCAGCCCCCACAAACCAAAATTCCTGTGAGGTGAATCAAAGGCCACATCGTCAAAACCTAAAGTTTGCCTGTTCCTGTCATCCCAGCACTTGGAGGGCTGGAGCAGGAGGATTGCTGCAAGTTCAGAACAGTCAAAATAAGGGTACAGAGAGACGGCTTAGTGGTTAGAGTTGAATACTGTTCTTGCAAAGGACCTGGGTTTGATTCCCAGCACCCAAGTCCCCAAGTCAGGTGGGTTTCGCCTGGCCTCCTTGGCAGCCAAACTCTCTTGCACCTATGCCCATACAGGGCACATACACGAAATTCAACATGTTAAATCAGATCTTTTAAAAGAGGACAAAGCTGGCTGTGGTGAGCACACCTGTAACCCCAGCACTCAGGAGGTGAGGCAGGAGGAATTCTGTGAGTTCAGAGTCAGCCTGGTCTTCAGACTGAGTCCAGGACAGCCAAGGCTACACAGGGAAACTCTGTCTTAAAAAAAAGACAAAAGTCCTTAGGTCAGACTTGGTGATTGGGCCACAAGCCTGAAACTCCTGGGAACCAGGTTGGAACTTGAGGCCCTAAACTGAGGGGGAAGTGGCCTGCCCCACCCCCGGGGAAGGTGGGGCTAGAGAGCAGAGGTGGATGGGAGGAAGGGGCAGGCCGCTGGGGAAGCAGCTGGGGGTGGCTCTGGTTGCCTCTGGGAAGGGTGAGGTGGGGACGCCTTCCCAATCCGTGTGTTCCAGGCCGGGAGGTGAGCCCAGCGCATCAGTACGCCCTGGCTGGTGGCGTCTCTTTCCCCTTCTTCTGGTTGGCCGGTGCTGGCTCCGCCGTCTTCTGGGTCCTGGGTGAGTGCCGGGTCTGGGCCGGGTGGTGCTGGGGGCCAGGTGAGAGGGCGTGTGCTGACCCGCCCGTCCTCCTCCAGGAGCCACTCTGGTGGTTATCGGCTCCCACGCTGCCTTCCACCAGATGGAGCCTGCGAACGGAGAAGAGCTGCAAATGGAGCCTGTGTAGAGCGCCATTCGGGATCCGCCTGCCTCGCCCGCCCGCTCTCCCTCCGCTGCCACCGCTCCATCTGACAGGGTCCTGCCTGGCCTTGCCCCTCAGCTCCGAGCCTCCACCTCCAGCCTCAAGCCCAGGGAGAGGCCTTTGTCTTTGGAAATAAAGCTGTTACAACTGATACTTGGCAGATACACCCCGGGCATTTTGTCTCCTCTAGGTAAGGAGGCTTTTACTGCGAGGCGCGGCGTAGGGCTGGAGAGGTGGCTCAGCAGTTAGGAGCACTGGCCGCTCTTCCAGAGGACCCGGGTTCAGGCCCAGCACCCGCAGGGCAGCTCACAACTCTAACTCCAGCTGCAGGCGATCCAATGTCTCCGCCTTCTCAGGTGTTTGCACAGGCGAACGCACACCCACACATAATTGAAAATGATGAAAGTGAGCCAGGTGGTGATGGCACACGCCTTTAATCCCCGAATTCAGGAGGCAAAGGCATATGGATGTCTGAGTTTGAGGCCAGCCTGCTCTATAGAGTGAGTTCCAGGACAGCCAGGCCTACACAGAGAGACCTTGCCTCGTAAAATGAAAACAATAAAAGTTATCCAGTGTGGTGGTGTCCACCTTTAGTCCCAGTGCTAGAGAGGCAGAAGCTGGTGCGTCTCTGTGTGTTCAAGGGCAGACTGGTCTACAGAGCCAATGCAAGGTCAGCCAGAGCTCTAGAGTGAGACCCCTGCGAGAGGGACTATGGCCAGAGAGGGGATCCTTTAAGGAGACGTCCTGGGCAGGCAAGGTGGCGGCAGTGTCCAGAGGCGGCAGCGCCGGGAGGCGGCAGTGTAGCTGAAGCTGCTGAGTCCTGGAGAAGCTGGCTGAGGGGGCCTGCAGGCAGCAGTTGCCTTTGGTTTTTACCTGAAGAATACAGTTAGTTTTTGAGACAGGTTTCGCATAGGCCCAGTTGACCTCAATCTCCGCATGTAGCCAAGGCTGGCCCTGAACTCCTGACTGCCCTGCCTTCACCCCCGGGTGTTGGTGTCACTGACCTGCCTGGTGTGTGCCGTTCTGGCAAGCATGGCGAGGGGTAGGCTGGCCCCAGCCCTGGGGTTAGCTGAGGGCTGTGCCCTGCAGGCAGGACTGAGAACCTGAGCAGGTACCTAGAGGGGTCAGACCCTCCTGTGGGCTGGGCCGACCTTGACCTTCTCGAGGTGATGGTGACATTTCTGGGGGCCCAGGGACCACAGCTAGGCAGGGGGAGAGCTGAGAATGCACACACCCTCCTGGCAGCCCCTCCCCCCCCCCCCCTGGAACTCTGCCTCCGCCCGGCATGACCGCCTCAGCCTGAAGTAAAGCTCCATGCACTGAATGGAAAACACAGGACTTGGGGCAGCCCAGCGGCTCGGAGCCCGGCTGCTCACAGAGGGACTGAGCTCAGTTCCCAGCCACGCTGTCTCAGCTGCTTGTAGGTCCAGCTCCAGGGCATGTGAGATTCTCTCCCGGCCTTCAGGGTATCCACGTGTACATGTGCACGCACACACGTGCGCACACACACACAAAACTGAGAACCATGAATTCTGAATGGAAACAGACCTCAGACTCCAGGTGAAGGAGTTGTGATTCTCATTAATTATGCTTACATGGAGAGACGGCTCAGTGGTTCAATAAGCACCGACTGCTCTTCCAGGGGTCCTGAGTTCAATTCCCAGGATCCACAAGGCAGCTGACAACTGCCTGTAACTCCCATTTCAGGGAATCCGACACCCTCACATAGACATACAGCAGGCAAAACACTGGTGCACACTAAAAAAATAAAATCTTTAAAGAGAGAGAGAAATCATGGTGACATACTTACCAGGCGGCATGGCGCACGCCTGTGATCCTAGCAGGCAGGTCTCTGCGAGCTCCAGAGCCAGCCCGGTCTATAGAGAGAACCCCAGGGCACCCAGGGCTGTATGTTTGTACATATCTGTACACACACACGGGGCTGGGAGCCCAGGCTGACCTTGAATGTAGTTGAGGATGGCTTTGAACTTCTGATCCTCCTGCCTCATGCTCCCAAGTCCTAGGATGGTGATGGGCCTGTGCCACACGCCGGGCCGGCTTTCTGTCGTACTGGAGAACTGAACCACGGCTTTATGCCGGGCGGGCACTCTGCCAGCTGAGCCAACTGAGCACCTGACTTTTTCTGTGTATGTGACATGTGCCTGTCATGGGACTCACCGTGTAGCTCAGGTTGGCCTCAGATTCATGACAGGACTACAGACCTACCACCCAGGTCTTTGACAATGCATGTGGAAGGAAATACTGTTTTGGATATATTCAGGAAAATCGTTCATTTGGCGTCATATGTGTGTGCTTTTGTATGTATGTGTGTGAGTTACACAACCACATGTTTGCACGTGCCTGTGGGGGCAACGTCTCTTCTGTTGTCTCCACTTCGGGGTTGTTTTGTTTTGTTTTGTTATATATATTGAGACAAGATTTCTCTATGCTCTGGCTGTCCTGAAACTCACTCTGTAGACCAAGCTAGCCTTGAACTCATGGAGATCCACCTGCTTCTGCCTCCCCAGTCTGGGATTAAAGGGGTGAGCCACCATGATTGGCCAATCCCCACTTTGTTTTTTGAAACGGTCTCTCACTAAGCCTGGAACTCACCTATTTAGCAAGACTGGCAAGACCTGGGATCTTCCTGCCTCTGCCTCCCAACACTAGGATTACAAAGCCTTGGCATGTTCATCGGCGCTGGAGATCCAAACTCAGGTGCCCACGCTTGTGCTCCAGGCACCTGCCTAACTGAGCCATCTCCCCAGCTCCAGTTTTACTTTTGTTTGTTGTTTGTTTGTTTGTTTGTCTTTTGAGACAGGGTCTTTCAACATAGCCCAGGCTGTCCTGGAACTCAGATACTTGGCTGCCTCTGCCTCCCAAGTGCCAGGCCTAAAGGGGTGACCCACCATAACCAGCTCCAAATTTCACTTTTTAAAAACTTGAGGGCCTCAAGAGGTGGCTCAGTACACTGGCCACTCTTCAGGAGGACCCAGATTCAATCTTCAGCAGCCACATGGCAGCCCAGGAATGTCCGTAATCCTATTCCTAGGGGACCATCACTCTCTTCCTTCCAGCTTCCTCCAACACCAGGCAATGCAACCAAACACATAAATCAAACTTAACAACAACAAAACCTTGAGGCCAACACGGGCTACATAGCAAGTTCTAGACCAGCCTGAGCTACATAGTATCTCAAGAAAATAAAAACAGAAGATAGATAGATAGATGATAGATAGATAGATAGATAGATAGATAGATAGCTTTAAAATGTGACTGAAGAAATTAAAAACTCACCTCTGTGAGTCCAATCATGACAGTACACATCTTTAATCCCAGCATTCAGGAGGCAGAGGCAGACAGATCTCTGAGTCTGAGGCCAGCCTGGTCTACAGAGCGAGTTCCAGGACAGCCAAGGCTGCTCTGAGAAACCCTGCTTAAAAAAAAAAAAAAATCACCAACAGCAAACATAATCTGGCCCAAAGGGGAAATCTTGACTCTAAACAAAAAACCCAAGAGAATAAATGTAGCTCAGTAGCAAAATGCTGGGGGCCCAGGGCTCTGTGGTCTCAGGTTGAGGTTCAGCATCAAATCAACCAAGCCTTGGGGTCTATTGGATCTATTGGATCCCAGGGCATAAGAGATTGGCTTTGGGGCTGGAGAGATGGCTCAGAGGTTAAGAGCACTGGATGTTCTTCCAGAGGTCACGAGCAAAATTCCCAGCAACCACATGGTGGCTCACAACCATCTATAATGAGATCTGATGCTCTCTTCTGGTGTGCAGGTGTACATGAAGACAGCACTTATATACATAAAATACTTAAATAAATAAACCTTTTTTTTTTTTTTTTTTTTTTTTAAAGAGATTGGCTTCAGGGCATAAGATCAGGAAAACCAGTGTTACCCAGAAAAGATAACAGAGATGTGTCGTGGAAAGAGAGACAAGGAGAACAGATCCTGCAGTTTCTGTGTGAGAGCTGACTGGCAGGAACCAGGCAAAGGTCACCCCCAGACAGCAGGCCTACACTGAGGTAGACCAGAAGTCTAACTGAGCCACTGTGTCCACTCTTCCAGAATTGGCCACCAGAGGGCAGACATGTGTTTCCTTCTGACTTTTTCCCCCACCTCACCAGAGAACAGAGCCAGTTGGGGACCCTGGGCTAGATCAAGTCACCTGGGAACAGCTGTGCCGAGGTCAATGTTTTGGTAGCAGAAGGCATTTTATTTCTTGAATTCAATGCTTGTCATCCACGGAAGGCTGAAGCTCTGCGCTCTGCGGTCCATCCAGGTGGCTAGATGATACATCCCGTTTTCACCTCCCGGATGTAAATAGTTCTCGAGACCCTGCTCAGAGCTGATACGCTGAACACTCCAGTGAGTGGCTGGGCGAGTTTGTTGGTGGGAGGCAGAAATTGAGATGGGCCTGTAGTTTAATCTGAAGCCAACTACATCATTTTCTACTTTCCGGTCCCCTCCCCTCCCTCTCTCCCTCCCTCTCTCCCTCCCTCCCTCTTCCTCTCTCTGCTTCAAATAAAAGTCTGGGGGCAGTGAGGTGGCTCAGAGGGCACCTAGCCTGGCAGTCAGCATTCAATTCTCAGAAACCACACGGTGGAAGGAGAAAACAGACCTGTACCATGGGATGCACCCCGCCCCCACACATAAACACAGACACACACAAATAAATACATATAAACATTTTAAAGTTAAAACAAAGCAAATAACCGGGCCTCCCCGTGTAGCTCTGGTGACACGCTGTCCCACATCTGTCTACAGATCTCTGAGTCTGTGTTGAGTCACGGAGATGCCAAGAGCGTCAGGTTCCACTGGAGATGGTCCAGACAAGAGGCCACGTCCCTCTCCGAGTGTGCTCCTCTCTGAAAGGCTGGTTCAGAGCAACAAACGGGAGGGCTCCGGGGTCTTGCTGTGCAGGCAGAAATCAAAGGTGTGGCTGTTTGGGGGGCAATGCCAAGTGCTTGCCAGGCAGGCACAACACCCTGAGGTCCATCCCAGGCACTGCAAAACCTGGGTGTGGTCAGCCAATCCTGAGAGCTCAAGCTTCAGAGAGAAGTTGAGGCGAGAGGGGAGGAGGAGGAGGGAGCAGAAAAGAATTAGAGCAAGAAAAGGTCATTTAAAGATAAAATTCTCCTAATG